GACTAATCTGGACTAATCTGGCTAAAAGCTGGCTCTGAGACGAGAAGATTCACACTGAAATGAGGATTCCAAGATTTTGAGATCAAATCGAAAGTTAGACTGTGTCACCTAAGATTTTCAAGTTACCTTCGCAAACTCTCATACGTGTTTACATACAAAGTCATCTGTACTTTGCACATTTGCACATTTGTATTTTCACACTCAAACACCAGGTCAAACATCAGGGGCTATATCTCTTCATGAACAGCATTTCCTTTTTTGATTAAGTGATGGTGGATAGCTTGCCATCTACAAGTAGCTAGCACACAATGTTGCCATGAAGCATCCAGTTATCAGAACAATTCCTGCAAGTCACTAATTAATTATTCAAACATTCAAAGAAGAACATTAATTCATATCATTCACCATGACTCTTAGCTTTTCTATTTCTCATTCACATTCCATCTGACTTGAGTCTGCTCTTAGACCTTCTAACCTTCTATTTGGTTTGGATTTTTAATGTCTTGGTCAGTTCCTTTATAAAAGACATTAATAAAAATAAACAAGCCAGTTAGCCTCTCAGCATCAAAGGGCACAAGAGCTTGCATGTATTTAAAACAACAAGTGCAGCAGTTACTGATAGTACATACAGAACTGGATCTACAGATGAAGTCCCTCCATCCCTCTCCCCCCTCTCCCCCACTACAACAGTGTTGAACAGTGTTCCCCTTGCTGAGAATGACAGGAATCATATTACGTTCCGCTTTAGAAAACGTAAATAAATATAATTATATAATGTACATGTAGATTTAGGCAAGCCTTTAGAAGAGCGGAGCTCGTGGGCCTTATCACTTCATTTCATCTTGCTGTATTGACGTGACAGGTTAATAACATTGTTTTCTAAACACCTCATACAGTTGCACAATGACACTGGGTACAGTAAAAATTAAGGCCATAATACAAATTATTATGTGAAATTCACAATGCAGAATCACTTGGTTGTGGAAGGTCATTCTCTTAATTAGTTGGTCATCCTTCTTCTTAGGTGCTCTCTTACTCTTCTGCATTCTTTTGTGTTACACAACACATAGATGAAGCAAGAAAAAAAGCGAGGGAGGCTACTTCGATTCTATGACTAGCACACTTCAGATGAGCTTATGATCTCCAAGAATAATCTTGCTAGCAAACACACTTACCATGACTTTTAACTCTCTTGTATCTCATTCACATTCTTGGCTGGGTAAATCTGAGCCTCATTTGGACACATCTTCCATTAATTTTAGGTGAGTTTATATTTTGATCTTGTTTGTCTATCAGGACCTTAAAGATGCAAAAAGATCATTTAATTTTTACCTCATGAGGTATGACATTAAATTACTATTTAAAACTATAATTTTTAAATTTTTTAGGTCATTTTTCAGTAGTGTTGTGGCTGCATTCGCATCTCTCATTCTTTCATTATAATTTTAAGTTACGGTAGTTACCAAGTGAGATTACTTCTACTGAGCTGCATGTATACAGTAGCAGATCTACCGTAGCAAGCAACCCCCCAATCTCACCCCCCCCCCCGCCCCCGATTCTCTTTTTGAGCAGTTCCAGTCAGAGGTTCCTGGATGTTAGTGCGGGTGCAGTGCACCCCATCATAGAAGCATGTTCAAGCGCCATGTACATGTGCATGCAGTTCAGTGATTTTTCAGTGGAGCTACCTATTTTGCCTCGTCATTTTCTGCTATTGTCACCTGGTTTTATTCTGGGTCTTCAAAGTGAAATTTTCCATCACTTGGCATCAATAAAGTACTTTTTGCTTTTCTCCCAAGGTATGGACTTTTTAAAGCCAGCTGCTCAACAAACAATAGTCTTGCATCATTCAAGTTTCCTGAGTCATTTCGAAATTATTTCACAGAAAGTAAATTACTGTGCTATCAAGCGTAGCCAGCGTTATTTCCACTGCAGGACAGTCCACAGTACCAAGGAAAGGTCAGGCAATGTTGCTTACCTGAATTTCTTGCCACAATCCACAAACACGACACGGTCTCATGCAGAACACCCCATCAAACACAAGCCCCATCTCAACATGGACACTACACTGTACCTTTACAAACACTGGTCAGGCCATTGCGTCAGGTACATGTACATGTAACATCCCAGTTCCTTCATTCATATCTACTTTCTGTACTCTTTCTTTGCCGCCTTATGCTGCTATTGGCAGGCCCGCAGTCATCGAGTGCTGGGGGCAGTGTCGTGTCCTTGATTCCAGCCATTTCAGCTTTAGCTACATGTACATGTGTGATCAGAAAAGATTTTGTAACTGGCCTGAGCTACTGTACTTTCCCATCCTACACAAGTTGGTGCTCATTTAAATCACCAACAGAAAATTCATCAAGCTGGCCGACCTTTTACCAGACAACCTCAGGGCAACAAGTATGACACATAGATGTTTTTAGAGACCAAACTCGTGGTCTATCATTTTCAATCATTGCAGTTGGCGTTGATTTCAGCCTGGAAAGGTAATTTAAACGTAAAGAATAGTTAAACAGCTGCTTACAAGAGCTCTGTCAAATGTAATTTCTATGTTGTCATATTTTGCTTAAAAAAATACAGTCATATGATTGTAGCAAAGCCCTCCTATCAATCTCAGTATACTTTAGCATACATCCTAACTCAATAACACATGCTCATGGTGTGACTAAAATTGCCACTTTGATTCACCAGACAAAATTATCTCCAAAAACCAAAAAAAAAAAAAAGGTTTTAGACTGATTAGGTCATCTTCGGGGTAAAAAGGCCATCTGTTACAGGTATATTTTATATGTTTAGGTGATTTCCAATGGGAACAGTTTTGCTCTAAAAGAATGTTCAACCTGGGATTCCATTATTGGATCATTACAATTTAGTTCTCCAGTGATTCTGTACTCAGGAAAAGATTGGGCCTTACCAAGTATCCGCCAACCAGAAAAATGGGACAGGTTCTCGTGCAGGTGATTGGCAGGTTCAGAGTGATTACATTAATTACAAGGGCTTCAATATTCATCATTTCACATCTCTACTTTTCTCATGGCTTCACCAATGTAATCAACACCACAAGAGCAGTCCCCTTTATAGATCATGTGCGACCTGTGAATGTTTTTTGTTCTTGAGGTTGAAAAGACTTTTTATTTGTCTTGTTTACCAATCAGAATGGACAATGAAATTCTATTTGAATCCTGTTAAATAAGGAATTGTTCAGCTTGGAGATTGTTTTGCAAAGTCTTTCATTTTTGCTGCAGTAAGAAAATTTGAAGAAAATCTTCTTACACTTGTCATCTTTTGGTGAATCCTCCAGAAAACTATTCACCGTGTGAGAAATACAACAATTGAGGTATCCTGCATTTAGAAATGAAATTGCATTACTCACGCTTTACATCAAAACAATGGAAACAACCTTTGTAAATGCCAGATACCCCAAGAATTTTATTTTTCACAAAAATGAAAGACTTTGCTAAACTTGATACAAAGCAGTTTTAACTGAAGGGACACGTCAGTCAACTTGTTTCTGCACAAAACCCACTGACCCTATAATGAGCTTTTTTTACAAAAGGAAATTCCAATCCCTTCTGTGGGGGGAGTATGGATATTTTCTGGAACTGAACATTGTGAGAATAATGTTGAAAAAACATGCATGAAATTATTTCCTAGCCTCACTTGTCAGATCATTTGATTACCAATATTAATTTTCTTAATTTCATGAGTATACCATTTGATTATGTATTAATATCATGGGTGACAATAATTAATAGTAATTAATTAAATAGTTAATTACGCTTACAACTCTGGGTTTTTTCTTGTTTATTGTATCGAGAAATTTTGTGCCAAACATTGCCATGGCAAATTTGAATTTCACATGTGGAATTATAACTTCATGCTAAAATTTCACACCAAAATAAGTCATTTGTCATCTATGATATTATGCAGATTACACGCAGTCCCAATAATTTTAGCACCTTCAGGCATCTTTTAGGAATTGACTTTTGTGCAATTAAAACTCATGCAGACATTAAGCCTACTCTCCCATATTCCTGTTCAAAGCAACAGCGCCCGCGCCAAGCGTTAGAAATTTTAATTTCCCGCGGGTATGGAGAAAAGCATTTCCAAGTTGTATTTTATTCAGCCAAGTTAAATTGCTTACCTACGCAATCACAAGTGAGAAAAGACCCATAGAAAACTTTCTTAAACAGTACCTTATTATCTTTTAGTTTACCTCGGGTAGGAGTTTTTCATTAGCTAGGAATTGCCAGGCTGTTGTCGGAGCTATCAGCGTTTGTGAACGTGGTTTCTGTTTCAGTGTTTTGTTGCCGCTGCAGCGATTTTTCTTTGCACCCAAATCCAACCAGACGAAGGCAAATGCCTTTCAAAACTCAACTGATATCATAAAGGGCCTCCTCGTCGCAGCTTCAGCGTCAAAACATAATCATATTATCAAAATCTGCTCAGAATTATCCACTGCCACGCAACCCGCCATGTTGGATCCTCTTTCGTTCCCAGTTTCTTTGGGTCGAAACGGACGCGTCACGGAAAAAATTCGCGGGAACACTGTTTCACGCGGGAACTAACGCGAAATCACGTTCATTTTAGCGATGAATCGTAGCTAACCATATATATAACCATATATGTTATTTGCCAGCCTTGGTCGTTCCGTATTGGGAAAAGCTGTGCTCGAGATCTTGAGCACAAGACCAAGGACCGACCAAGTCCGGCATTTAGCGTGTCCAGCCAAATGAAGATTTGAAAGGACACATGACCCGTTAAAGAGGAAAAATTATTTCCAGCACTGCATTGGGTTGACGTATTCTAGTCTTACGAGTAGGCAACTACTAGAAAGATGAAAGTAAGCTGTACAAGAATTACTTAACTTAAAATAAGGGCGCAGAGAACACGATATGAAACGGTGCACCCAACGAAGGCTGCAGAACGCTGGCAATGGCCACCCTCGAACCCGGCAAATGCTAGTACCCAGTCTACCTATAGGGCAAAATATGCTCTGGGAGGTCTGTTAGGTGTCATCCCGTATACATACATATTTGCTTTGACTTAGCGGGCCTTATGCATAGCCCCACAAAAACTTAACTGGAGAAACGGGGAGGGAAAGGGGGAAAGACAAGTTTTGAAAATGTTGAAAGACAAGTATGAAAATGTTGCCTTAACCTCTATACTAAGAAATAACTGCTCTATACTAAGAAATAATTGGCGAGTTTCGTTTGGGATTAAACTACGTTTTAACAAGGAAAAATGAAATAGCTGATAATTGTGGAAGGCCTCTTCGCGCAATGGTACAGGTAAAAGACAACAGATGGAAAAGCCGCTTGAGAAGTTGCACATAATCAAGACAAGCTAAAAGTATCGCATGCAATATTGAAGATAGAGTACACGCCGAGGTTGTGTCCTGCAATGTAATTTAAACAGTTGACGCAAGTTAAAAATGTGTCACAATGTTGTAGATAGTAAAAACAAGTTACTTTTGTTACCTTTATTGTAAAGGATGTTGCAGATAGCTAAGACAAGTCGTAATTTTTGCGAGCGTTAAAATTGTTTTGCGCAATGTTGAAGATATCTTTTCTCCAAGCCGCAGCAACACGCAAATTGTATCACATTTATACGGCGTGGGTAGTGAAATGCTATCGCTTGAGAAGTCAATCTTTGAAAACTACAACTGCGGGGACCAATGCCAGAGGAAAAAACAGCCGTGTTGGTAAAAACCATGCATCAAAATGGTCTCCATTTAGGGTTAGAGTTACCTCCATCCTGGCCACAGTTCCTGCAACGTCGTGCTCTGATGTAAGGTCTTTCAGCGCCCTTCCGCGCATTAAGACATTTTTAAGATCCAATAGGGCAAGACCGACTTAGTAGCATCGCTGTTATTACAATTGAAAGAAAATAAGACAAGCGATTACCTACTGGCATATTTGGACGTTGAATTTATACTTTTTTTACGTTTTATCTCTCATTTCGTGCTATTGTAGATTCGAAATTTTGATCTCGATTTACCGAAAGCATTTGTACTATTTTGATCGCGCGTGCTCTCACAGCTTGGTGAATTAACGCAACTTCACAAGCAAAATCGTCTTGCATCTGTGACCAACAATTTTTATTCGCGCNGACAATTTTTATTCGGGCGAGTTATGTTGAACACCCCCATTTTCCTCCCTCCCACCCCCACTGTTTCCAACATAGTTTTTCCCTACGTCGTAACTAGACATATGTGGCACCTCATGAGTCCGTCTGATAGGAGTTGTTCTTTGTTAATCCCTGGAAAACCTCAAGTAGCCGGAATTCTCATGCGCACGTCATATGGCGAACATACAAGCTGGTAAGGCGGGCAGGCTGGAAGGAAATAATGAACCAGAGACTTGGGACGAGCTTGATCAGCAATGGCTAAGTAAGAGTTCAGGATGTTTTAATCAACTGGATCAAACCGTCATTAAAGTTAAGTAGAGGGGTTAAGAGGCTGTCCGTGTAAGAACCGACCACTCGATTTTAGACCGAAAACAGAATTTCTTCAAATTTTCTCTGTGAGACAGTTAGTCCATATGATAAATAAAAATAGCAATAATTTGGCTTTAAGTGCTATTTTTCAATATTTCTGGCGACGATTTCCGAGTACGGTACAAAACCGTAAAAACCATTCTGTTGGGAGTCAAATTTAGGCGTTGCGCTGAAGGAGCTGAAAAATTACGCTTTTACTTAAATACAATAAAACTTAGAGATAATTTTATTTCATGTTTTTTCTTTCGATTAA